CCTTTTCCTTCCTTTTTTCCTTTATTTATTTTTTTTTTTGAGACAGGGTCTCACTCTTGTCACCTAGGCTGGAGTGCAGTGGCACCATCTCGGCTCACGGCAACCTCCGCCTCCTGGGTTTAACTGATTCTCCTGCCTCAGGCTCCATAGGAGCTGGGACTATAGGTGTGCACCACTACACCAGGCTAACTTTTGTATTTTTTGGTAGAGACGGGGTTACCCTGTGTTGGCCAGGCTGATCTCCAGTTGCCTCAAATGATCTACCCGCCTTGGCCTCCCAAAGTGCTGGGATTACAGGCCTGAGCCACGGTACCTGGCCTACAGGTGCCTTTCATCCAATTTCTATTCTTCACTTGAAACACATTCTCCATATATAAAGATCCTATTTCTCATATTCATTTATATATAACAAATTTGCTATATACACTCAAAGTCATAGAAGAAAATGATATTCATATGGTATTATCTCAACCAAGTACTTTAAAAAGTAGCTGAGTAATGAAGATTAGGCCCTTGGATTAACTTATTTTAACTATAATTTGCTGTAAAAACAAACCAGTCCACCAGAAGACTGGTGCCCCAGGAAGCACTCCAGAGTTTGTAAGTAAGAGCTCCACCTTGTTGTCCCTTATTGTGAACATCAAGAGCTCAAGCAGAACACAGTCACATGAAGGACTCCTTTAACCCAGGGATGGACCAAAGTTATCTTGAAAATGACCCATATATTCATTAACCTTTTTGGTTTTTAATTCAGCTTCTCAATGTAACAAATACCTGACCAGACAGGTAAAGGCTGCCCAACCCATACCACCAGGACCAGCACCCCAAGATGGGTCAGTTAGGGTCCCCATTGCTCACTCTCCTCAGTCTCTCCTTGGGAAAATATCTTCCTCCATAGCAGTGAATGAAACAATTTCTGCACTCAAATTATTTAGTGAAATCTCTGTAGAGAATATGCTTTGGGATCTCAATATTAGCATAGAGACACCTAAAGTATAGCTGTGTGAGCTGAGAGATGGAATTTTTCATTAGATCTTAGAAATATAAAACATACATTAAAAACAACTCTCAGCCACATGTAGTAGCTCATGCCTGTAAGGTGGACAGATCATTTAACGTCAAGAGTTCGAGACCAGGCTGGCCAACATGGTGAAATCCTGTCTCTACTAAAAATACAAAAAATTAGCTGAGTGTGGTAGCAGGCACCTATAGTCCCAGGACCTCCAGAGTTGGAGGAGGGAGAATTGCTTGAACTCAGGGGGTGTGGAGGTTGCAGTGAGCTGAGATCATGCCACTGCACTATCTTTCTCTGGACAACAGAGAAAGACGCTGTGTCAAAAACAAACAAACACTCTCAAATATCCTTTTCTTGAAAAATCCTTCCACTATGTCTTGTGCTTAAGGAGGAGACACTCAGTGTATCAACAAGCTACTAAGTGCTCTAGCTGCTAACCAAAAACAGAGCCCACCTTGGCGCTACTAAGAACCCATTCCAGGCAGAGAATACCTTCTGACGGTGCACTTTCTCCACGATAAGGTTAATTTTTCAACAATTAATAACATCTATGTTACTCTAAGATATTTCTTAAAGTCCTATGGAAGATGAGAAAAACAAGTCTTGATTTTCTAAGGGGCAGGTCCATTACTGAAACAGAAAACACTGTAAATTATCTTTGGCATATACTTTTTGCTACAGCTTCACCACTGAAAACCATGGAAGAGGGGAGGAACACATCAAGTTATCCCTTAGGCATGACCAGCAGATGGGCTGTGGCACAGCTTCTCATTCTCAGGCCTTAACTTAATCAGCAGAACGGCAGGATGAACAGCAGTTTGTCTATCCCAATATCAGGGCAAAATACTAACTGCTCTATTTAGTTAAACTTGCACGCATACCTCAAGTCAAGGCTCCGTGCCTGCCCTTCTATAACAGACACAGCTGAGCCCAATGTGCCAGCCAATCATAAAAGCCAACTCCTCATTTTAAACGTGAGGATACCGAGGCCAGGTCAAACAATCTATAAGAAATAGATGCTGTACAGACAGTAAGGTATGGATGGAGAGAGGAACAGATGAACGGGCAGGTAGATGGATGAAGGACAGCACAGAAGTAACTGGAGAGCACAGGACATCAGAAACTCCTCATTCTGTTTCCGCTTCATCATCAACTATTTCTTTTAAAGCTAGGCAAATGATTTCATTTTTCTGGGGCTGATTTCTCTTTCCTATGGGGTGATTATTCTAAAGGCTCTCTCGGCCTCCTCCTAGCTCTCAAAGACTTTGATACTATGAAACTATTGAATTTTCCAAAACAATTCCATCTGGTCTTGGCAATACCAGGACCATTTTGCCAGGATTTCCCAGAATTCATGGCACCGTAATCACAGAGGGGACTCGGGAGGTCTTATTCATCCAGAGATCTGGCAATATCTGGGCATCCTGATTCACATGCAGTGTCCTCTCTTTATGTTACATTGGAAAGCAACTGTGAGCAAAGCTTACCACAGAGAAGTTCCCACCCCGAATGAAGGCGTTCAAACGATAAGAAACCAGAATACTAAAATTAGCAGTGACGGCCCCTCTTGCTTCATAGGGCAAATAGAAAAGTCAGCATTACCCAAGCCACGCTGGGAGTCTGCATGCACTTGACTTTTTTCTAGAAGTCCCCTGTGAAATGCCAGACTCTCTACCTGGGGCTATTGCACCTCTTTATATCAGACTTATTCTTATTCCACACATTTAGTTTTTCCCCACACCCCAAATTCCACTTAGCAGGGAAGACTGTGTAAAAATGGATGCCTCTTTGGCACAATTCCCTTCTGTCTGCTCAGAGGGCGCTTCTCCGTGTAACAACTGTTTTCTTAAGTTATAAAACAGCAGGGGCAGAGTAAACTGTATATACAGGCGGACCGTTACAATCACATAGACTCTCTTTCCCCCTCTGACTGCCAATTCTTAAAAGTCAGAATAGCCACCATTTGTTTTCTGAAGCTCAGCCACTTTGCTATTTCTTTAAATGTTACAGGAAATGCTGGCGGTGAGGCGAAACCCAGCCTTCTTTATGCATGAGGAAATAACAGAAGTAGAGGGTATACCCAGGGTCACCTGGCCTCAGCTTCTTCAGGCTGGTCGGCATTTAAACAGCCCAAGAGATGGCTGTGGCTTCTATTTATAAAGACAGTGATTCTATGGCTTCTTGAAGGAGCCCTTCTCTAAGTGCAGCTACCCACAAAGTTAACTTTCTTACACCTAACAACTCCCTCCCTCCCAGCCAGGCATCTTGTATAATTCAAGCCTGCTTCCTCTTCGGCCCTCTGTGGAGAACAAACTCACGTTGGTGTTTATGTTCTGTTTAATGCAGGGTTACATTAATGTAGGAATGTCCGGGTTGACATTCCTACTCTGGAAGCCTAGAAGGAGATCATAGTCATTCCTTGGGCCTGTGTGGTCCTGTCTGTGTCTATGACCTGCTTCTCGCCCATCAAGAAGAATCAGGGTCTGTTATCAAGTCCCAGAGTGTCTTGAGTCTAGACGTGGCCAGAAAGTCTTGATCAGAAAAAGCAGAGAGGATCCTCTGGGGAAAAATGCACTCAGATGTGGAGGGAGTCACAGAGCCCAGCAAGCAGAAGGAAGGGATGTGGACAAGGAATGCCACATCCTGGGGGGCTGTCCCTGGTGGTCATGTTCTCTGCAGAGCTCCATCCATTCAGGGACTTTGGGAAAGTAGATGCAGCCTGGGGAATGGTTCCAGAAGGCGATCCAAATGCCATGAGGTTGTGGCCAGGACCAGAGGGAAGGCTGCCAGAAAAGCTGCCGTGATCACAGGAAAGCCTGCAGAGCTACCTTAAAATCCCACCTAGAAACCACCACGTGGAGAAAGTCATCTAGAGGGGCCTGGAGCCGTAGCCAGAGATAAAGACAGGAATGCCCTAATGGGGATCACTAACATTTCCTGCCTCCATTCTCTGCATCAGGCACCTAGCATCATTTGGCTTGATCTTATAAGAAGCTCTCGTTATGATCTCCATTTCACAGAAGAGGAAAGCGAGGTTCAGCAAGGCTCTGTAACTCACTGAAGGTGTAAGAACTCCACTGGCTTGCCCATAAAGTCCAAATTCTTAACCCTTTCATTTTATGACCTGACCTTCCTGCATCTTGGCTTTTGGGGACAGTAGGAAGTGCTGTTTTTCAATATCCCTCGCTCCAAGATGAGAGCGTATTAATTTTCTACCAGGGACCTGATATGGTTTGAAGACATCTGGATGCTGGGCAGCCCCACAGACCTGGAACTGTAACCCAGCCTCAGATCCTGGGGAAGGGTGTGGTTCTGGAAAAGAGTGTTACTCTGGTGTTACTCAAAGATAGTCATTAAGTCACTGTGAAGACATCTTTTCTGCAGACTAAACAACCTCACTCCTTTTTTAAAAAGCTTTCCTCCCAGGAGCTATTTTTTGGTACTATCTTTCTATATTTACTGGTTTTCTCCAGACATTCTTCTACCCTCCCACTCTCTATCTTAAACATGCCTGTAATAAGATTTTGATCTGTGCCATAGAAAGAAAAGGGTCATTTTCATAGTTTTCATCTCTGGCCCTCATGAATTAATAAAAGGCCAGGATAGATGGTAATTACTCCCTTGTGGTCCACTCTGACCCTCAGGCCTCTTTGGGCTGCCTCTGTGCCTGGCCCATCTTCCATTTACTGATTGTTTCTGATCCTGTTGAACTTTACTGTATATTGAGGAAGTAGTCCTTAGTTTCCTGCCGCCCTGAACATGCAGTTGAGTCAGCCTCATTTCCTTCTGTCCTCTAAAAGGATGCTTCAAAAAGAGCCCAGTGCGCAGAACCAAGCTTTGAGTAGCAAGAATGGTGACAATGCAACTTTTGGCTTTACAGGGCCCTGACATCCCCCTGGGGGAAAGGTTGAACCCAAGGATTCTGAGACATGGTCCCTGAGTATACCAGCCTGGAGGGTGTACCAGCCCCAATGGGTAAACTTACTTCGCGGTTCTCGGGGCCCGTCCACTGTGATTTTGATGGCTCTGTGGTAAGTGGCAACTTGCGGTGGGTTTGTGAAGACAGTGATGGTCAGAGTGAAGCTTTTCCCTGTTGGGACACAATAGAGAACAAAAAAGAATGAGGTGGTGGCCTGATCATAGCTGTTGAATAACCAATCATTAATTAATGCTTTCCAGCCCTTCAGCACAAGCTGCTAGTTTTAACAACACTCCCAGGATTTTGGCTTAAATTCTGGAATGCACATTTACGATACTTCACATAGTTATATGGCTTTAACGTTAATAAATACAAGATCAAGAAAGATTGGTATTTATTTTCTGTTAAGTCAAGATTTCAGGAAACCATAGAGTCAGACTGGCAGCTCTCCACTCCCGGTCCCTAACTTCCCTGCTCCCATCTTCCCCAATTATTTATAACTCAGAGCAAAGAAGAGTGGAAGAAGCCATATCCATCTTTCTCTTCTTACTCTGTTCTTTTGAAGATTAGGAAAGATAGGATTTCTAAGTTTGAAGATGGGCTAAATTAGAATTATTCTCTCTATATTTTTAAAAGACTAAGTCTGGCTGATTTTAAATATTATTTGAAAATATCAGATATTACCAGAGGTACTCATGGGATCAGCCATAACAAAATTGATGACCCATAAATGGACTTAAGCATATGTCACTGACAGACTGAGATTTGATAAGTACTGGTAATAAAAAACGCACATAATTTCCATGTACACATTTTATGTATATTTATAAACGGTGAGAACATTTCCATTGCATACATTTACTAATCTAAAAACACTTCTTGTTGGTCAAGTGGTTCAGAGGATAAATCTGGCTAGCTGACCTTTGGCAAGTCACCAGACATCTCCATGTTCCTCAGTATTCTTACCTGAAAGATGGGTACATGCAAATTTTCCTACCTTAGTGAGAATTGGGGGAAAGTAAATGAGTTACTATGAGTAACACTGTTAAAACAGTATCTGGCACATGGTATTCAAAGGTGTGTGTGTGTGTGTGTGTGTGTGTGTGTGTGTGTTGTGTCTGCTTTATTTCTCTTCTCTGCTTCTCATGGGTCTAAAACAGGACCCTAACATTTGATTAAGTCTGATGTTCAATCTTCCTACATCAATACAGTAGTTCTTTAATCAACACAGTTTCTCCCGTTAATCACGTAGCACAAAGTGAAGTTAAAAGTAAATGAAAGGAAACCCAAACATGCCCATCCTCTCCCTCACCTGCTCTAAAACCATTCACCATTTTACAACTCAATGATCTTTCCTCTCCAAGTTAGAGAGCAAATCATTTTCAATTGTCACACGTCTTAACACAAAGGAAGGCCCCAGAAAAATTCTCAATGAAAATAAAATCTTTGGCCACAGCAAGCCACGATTCCTAATCATGGGAAACCTCCACCAAACACTCCCCAAGGATGTGGATTCTGTCTGTATTAAAGTCTATAATAAAAAGAGCAATAGCAAGTAACAATTAGATAAAGAAGCCCGCTCTGCCCACTGTGTCTTTATAACAAGAGTCTCAGCTGACTTGTCTAGTAAACGAGGTGAGGATACTTCTGGGGAGTGACTTCCACTGGGTGAAGCATCAGGGGTGCCAGGTGGCTCTGTCTCCAAATCCATCTTTCCCATCAGCTAGCCTGTCCCCAGATCCTAGAAATGAGTCTTGTTGGGCTTTGGGGATCTGCCAGCTTTCGGACATCCTTCAGATGCTACCAGCTGACATTCGGGATGCTTTCCTACCTTGACATCTAGCTGAAGGAAAGGAGTGGGCAGAAGAGGCCTTGGCCGGCCCAGCAAGCAGGGCACGTGATGTGACGTGAAGGAAGATGCTGCCGCAGAAGGAGGCACATCCTGAGGGCAACCGCCCATCTCACTGAGCAGTCTCTGGCTTTCCAAGATCAGATCCAGGAGCAAGGGCAGCCAGAGCCTGGGAGCAGCCACACCCATATGATCCACAGCTGGCCCTACAAGCCTCGTGATCAGCCTGTTCCCTCTCTGTCAAGAACCCACAAAGTTTATCACCTGTATCATCAAGACTGAATTCCAGAACCAGTTTGTAGGATCTTCTCACTAGTAAGACCCTGCCTGAGTAATTTCTCACTCATCCCCTCCCCTATTCATACCTGACTCCCGATGTGCATCCTCCCAGTTCCACCCACAAGCCACGGCATTGAAAGGCGGAGGCCTCCCTTCCTCCACCCGCTTCTCCAGCCATCCAGGGTTCCTTGCTGCACTCTTCATGCCAGTCTTCCTACCTTCAGCATTTGGCAACGGGCAGTTACTTGTTTTCCAGGCAGCCTTCCCTGATGACTACATTTTGCTTTACGGCTGTTTGGGCTGCCTCATAAACCATCCTTCACCTTTGATTATTTAGGGTGTCAGACAGAACAGGGTTTGTGGCTGTGCAGCCCTACTCTCCCAGAGGGCGGGATCCTTTTCTGTACACCACGTAGCCCTCACAGAAAGGTAGAAAAAGGTGCAAGTGGGAAGGGGCTTTAGGAGAGAAGGGGGATTTGAAAATTTTTTTAAGTACCCTGAAGGCATAGCTATAGATAATGCCATTGCTCCTGTCCTGAGTAGGTGTAGGGGTGCATGTGTGTGTATGAGAGAGAGAGACAAAGAGAGATTGAGGTGGTTCTTTCAGCAAAAGAGTTACAAGTTTGAGGATCCAATACAAATGATTTAACTCTTCAGATCTCAGTTTTCCCATCAGCAAAATGAGGGGGTTCATGAATGCACACAATGTGCCTTTCAACTCTCTGATTTCATCTTCCAAGAATGTAGCTGGCCTGGGATGCCCACAGCCACGTGTAGGCGGGCAGGTGCACGTGTGATTCTTCTGTTGCCTACCACTTTAACATCTCAACGACTTCATAAAAATGCTGTATTCATTTCCTGGGGCTGCTGTGATGAATGACCACAAACCAGGTGACTTAAAACCACAGAAGTCTAGACCTTCACGATTCTGGAAGTCAGGAGTCCAAGATCAAGGTGGCAGCAGGGCCACACTCCCTCTGAAGGTTCTAGGGAGGATCCTTCCTTGCCTCTCTCTAGCTTCACATGGTGGCCAGTGTTCCTCGGCATTTCCTGATGTGCAGCTGTAGCATTCCAACCTCTGCCTCTGTCTTCACACGACTGTCTTCCTACCGTGTGCCCGCCCCTCCTTGTAAGGACCATCAGTCACTGGACTTAGGGCCCACCCAGGTCCAGTATGACTTTATCTTAACTTGATTACATCTGTAAGGACCCTAAGCCCTATTTTGAGGTTCTAGGTGGACGTACATTTTTTAGAGAACACTATTGAACTCAGTACAAATAGCAGATGTCATAAAAGCTCCCACCATGGCTCTACCAGTGGCAACAGCTCCACAGGTACCTGTGTTTTACCCCTGGAACAGTCCTGCTCTGACGGTGCCTCTCCTACCACCACCCTATTCACAACTTCCAAATGACAAAAAAGAATGGTTGTGTTCCTAATATTGGCATTTTTAAGTCATGTAGAACTTCCAACTTTTTAAACATGTTCCCATATACTGTTTCATTTGGTTCGCACACCAATCTCATGAAATAAACAAGATGAATTTTATTGTTCTTGATGAATAGGTAGCAAAGCTAAGGCTCAGAGAGGTTAAGTAAATTTCCCAAAGTCACACAGCTTCACAATATGGCAGAACCAATATCCTTGAGCTTTCTCCTGTTCTTCCAGTTATTGTCCCTGATGTCACAAATCTCTACCTGCAAACCCAGTAGCACTAGTACAAGGAATCTGGACTGGAGATACTTTATCCATGCCTACCACTGCCCCAAAAAGTAAAAGCTGTCCCTGTGAGTCTAATGTACACATGGTACTCAGCCTGGGTTATAGTTCAGAAGCATTTTCTCACTGAGCTGCATTTGGACTTCCGGCAGTTGACCATGACACCCCACCTGGTCAAGCACAGACGAATCTATGTCACCAGGAATAACACCTAATCAGAGTGAATATTTGTGAAATCGTTGCTCATTATCTGAATTCTTGTTATTTCATGCCCACCACTTTCTGCGCAGTCACGAGGCGTTTCCACCAAGCACGCACTAATAATAGGTGGGGTGTTCTGGCCAGTCACGGGGTTCACCAAGGAGGAGAGTTCTGGTATTGTCCCTCACAATAGGCTCTTCCTTACAGCTCTGGGTACAAGAAGGTTTGCTTATTATCTTATAGACAGAGTGGTGACTTCTTCACACATATAGGTTTCCACTGCGTGAAAACTGCTTTACGTTTCCTTTGTATTCTTCCAATGAGACCCAACACAGCCTTGACACTGGGCTGCAGCCGGGCACACCTGACGGGACTCACGTGCTGTGCCCTCCACGTGGCCCTGCCCTCTCCACGGCCCTGCCCTCTCCAAGGCCCCACCCATGGCTGCTGAGACACAGCCCTTCTTGGCCAGCATCTGCAGAAGTGGGATCTGTGCCTCAGGGCACACATATTGTGAGCCAAATTCCCTCATTAAAATGACCTATAGGCCTGGTATTTTAAGTACATGGGTGTGGAGAACAAAAGACTCTCAAGTGTTTTTCCCAGCGAGCCGCAGCTGGAATAGTGAGAAATCACAGGAGAACAAGGAGGGCAGATTGATTAAATAGCGACAGCTCCAAAATGGGCTTTTCGGGACCAAGTGCAGGGCTGGGAGGACGGGGTCGCTGCCGAGAGAACCAGTCTTCCTGTTGGTAGCCCAGAGGCTCCAAGGCTCCCCGAAGCACTCAGTGGCCTTGGTATGGTGAGGCCAGCAGAAGTCTTGGTCAGTGCACAGATGGCCCCGGCACTGTCCCTGCGTGTGCTGCTGGCAGTCGGCAGCTCTTGGCTCCCGAGGGGGCCGCCAAGGGGTCACTGGTGGACTTTATGGGAGGAAGCCAAGGAAAGAGGTAAATGCCACATCCTTCTTTCTCCTGCCCACTGAACCCTGACCACTGCAGCAGCCTCAGCTCCAGCCAGGGCCTGGGTTCCAGGAGGACCCTTCTTTAGAAAGAAGCACAAACACTCTTATACTGAATATGAAGGTGGGAACAAAAAACAACAGGGTAGATGAGGTTTCTCTTG